GAAAATATGACAGTGTACAGATGGTCTTTAGGGCATGTTATGTACTGAAAGGAGTTTTATACTATAAATTAGCATGAAGCAAACTTAGATTTTTAGTCTTTCAGCAGAAAGATTAAACTTTAAGGACAGCAAAGGTCTGTGCACCTAATTTGCATTTTGTGCAACCCTGGTATTTATCCCGTGCTGCTATTACTACATAGATGTAAATCTTTTGAGTTTGAATTCAGTGTGCCTAATCAAACGAGCAGGTGTATTATAACTAGACTGAATAAGCCTAACCTTTCTTTTCTTCATTTTCACACTAAACCTTTTCTAGGGCTTTCTATATTCTATGGTTACCAGATCAGGTCCTAGTTATTTCCTGATTTCCCTGTCATCTTGTGGGTGGTAGAGGTTAGGTAGGCTAGCCATCTGCTACTCTACCCTCCCAGTTGGTTCTCCTTCCTTTAAGAAGCAGGTTTAGTTAAACAGATTGGCGAAGGTCCAGAGGGGGGAGTCTGTGTGCCTTTATCCTAGTCAAATTGGTCTGTAGCTCTTTAGAGTGAATAGCAACTTTGTTATTTTCTTTTGCTTCTTCACAATTTACATATCTTTTCTACTGTGCATAGGCATCTCACACTATAGGAGAGGGCAGGAGGCATCTCCCCCCACCCCACCCCCTACATCTTTATTTTACAAAGAAATAAAAAATTTGGTTTTGTTGTGAAACAGTTTTTAGTTCTCACAAAGGTGGCATAGGATAGCATTCTCAAAATAAGTCTAAATGTTCAATTGTTGAAAACTAGTTTTGAACTACTTGTTAAAGATTTTTTTAAAATTATATAGGATATGGGATTTAGAATCTAACATTAACAGGTGGAATTAACACAACCACCACAAAGTTAGCATTATGGTTGTTTGCCTTATTAATCTTCAAATATGCTACATTCTGCTACCTTTTTAGCCAGGTTTGCACAAATCCTTTCATTGCAGCATATGTCAACAGAAATGTTCTCCCATCTGCTGCATATAGCTTGATGTCTGATATTCAGAGACAAGGGCACAGCACAATGCGTACCTCTGTTAGTAGTTACAGGTGTGTTGTGAGGAGCCTAGTGCATTAATCAGACCCTTAATTATGAAAAAGGTGGATCTTTTGTTCTGACCTTGGAGCATGAATTTACCACACACTTTATAAAACTACAGCATCCATCTGCTCCATCTCTTAGAATGTTTGTCTTGACTGATATTGACTTTAAAATGTATCAAAGGAAGTGATTAAAACAGGTTTAAACATTAACTTGAAAACAGCAATATAGCTCATTTTGGTTGAGAAGAATAAAGAATTTACCTACTATGATTAGTAAAAATATTTTTTGTATGTCAAAATCACTCTTTAAGATGTTTTAGTTAAGAATGGAGATATACATTGACTTCTTAGAATTTAATTATTGTGGCTGGGTAATAGATTTGAGTTTTAGACATCAGTGTTCTGCAAATTGTTACAGGGAATTTCAAAAGTAGCCTTATAAGAAGGATGAGAAAAGAAATTTGATGCCACAAAAAGAGAACATCTTAAAGTATTTTTTCTAATTAGTGTCCAGAAGCTAAATGGCAGCTCCTATGGTTTGATTAATATGTATAATCATAAAATGCCAGATAATGATTCTCAAGTTTGCCTTGTTTTTAATCCCTTTTCTTGATCTAATATTTTTAATCCTTTTCCTGACTTTAATGAAGGTTTCACTGAAGCCTAGATAGAGTAAATGACTTAACTGAGGTCATGCAGCTAATAAGGGGCAGAGACAGAATTTGAACCTGAATTTGGCCTCAGACAGTAGCTGTGTGACCCTGGGCAAGTCACTTAACCCTGTTAAGCTCAGTTTCCTCAGGTGTAAAATGAGCTGGAGAGGAAATGGCGAGCCACTCCAGTATCTTTGCCAAGAAAACCCCAAATGGAGTAACAGAGTTGGACATGACTGAAGGACTAAACAACAATGACAACTATGATTCCAAAGCCATTGCTCTTTCCATTGCATTATGCTGTGGTTATGCTTTTGTGTGTGTGTGGGGTTACTCTTATAGTGACTATTGTGTTATACTCGAAGTCAAAGGATGCTCTTTGTACGTTAGGGAAAGGTCTGTTGGTTATGTATCATAAATTTTGATTACATGTGTACATGCAGATATCATTAATAGTAATTATATCTTCAGATATGAAGAATTAAAATCTTAATATGCTATAGTGTAATGAATGAACTCTTCTCTCAAACATTTTAAAGTACTGATTATCTATGCCACTTAATTGGCAACCTTTAAATTTTTTAAGAGGAAAAATTCTTTAACTGTGAGAGATTTTTTCAGTCATTGAATAGCTGAAGAAAAAAAGTGTCGTCTTTATATTCTTTAATCACCATTTTAGAAGTTGAAGAGCACTAGAGTTGGGAAGCAATGTGTTTCTGTAACCGAGACAAAGTTGGAACATTATATCCCTTGTATTTTTTACTTTCCACCGGAATCTTAGAAATTTCTGATTAGAACTGGAAAGGACCTTAGAAGCCCACTATCTATCCCACTCCACCTGTTCCCCACCTTTCAGAAATACACACTTTGTACAGAGGAGGAAACTGAGGTTTGGGGTAAGTGCAACAAACATTTAGTAAGCACCTACTATGTGCCAGGTGCTATTTTAGGGCTCTAGAAAGTGAAAAGCAAAAATGGGATAGACCCTGTCTAGGGTCTAGAGGATACATTTTATCAGGAGAAGTAACATATACATATATAAGTACATACAAAGTAAATATCAGAAATAACATGAAATAACAGCAGCTGAGAGTTATGACAAGGAAAGGCCTCATATAGGACGGAAGTGGTGCTTGATCGGAACATTGAAAGAGACTAGGGATTCTAGGAGGAAAAGTTAAAGAAAACATGGATTCTAGGCCTGGGGGCATAGCCAGTGCAAAGAAACAGAGACCGAGATGGAATGTTCTGTTTGAGGAAGAGCAAAAAGGCAGCTATGGCTGGATTGTAGCTTGCATGGAGGGGAATATTGTATAACAGGACTGGAAAGGGAGGGTGGAACAAGGTTATGAAGGGCATTACATGCCAAACAAAGGAGTTTGTATTTGATCCTTGACCTAATAGGGAATCACTGGATTGTTTTTAATAGGGCAATGACATGGCCAGACTTGTGGAATATCACTTTGGCAGTTATATTGAATTATAGAGGAGAGAAATGAATTGGGGAGACTAATTAGGAGGCTATTTCAGTAGTCCAGGTGGGAGGTGATGAGGGCCTGAACCAGAGTGTGACTAGAGAGGAGAGAAATGTGAGAGATCTTGTGGAAGTAGAATTGACAAGCACTGGCACGTGAAAGTCTATGTGGGATGAGGGAAAGCGAATCAAGTATGACTCTGAAGGTGCAAACCTGGGTGACTGGAAGGATGCTGATACCTTTGACAAAAGCAGGGAAGTTTGGAAGGAGAGTAAGTTTGAAGGGAAGATAATTCTATTTATGGCATTTTGAATTTGAGGTGCTTACCTAAAATCCACTTTGAAATGTCCAGTAGACAGTTTGGTAATATGGCACTAGAGATGTGTTGGGAGACAAGTGTTAGAAATGGGAATCTAGAAGATATCTTTGTAGAAATAAGTGGGATACATTGAGGTCATCAGGAGAGCACAGAGAGAGAAAGAAGGCAAAAGGGCACTGGATTGAAGCCTGGGGAACTCATTCACCCAAGGAGTGGGATGTAGATGATGGTCCATCAAAGGAAACCGAAAAGGAGTGGTCAGACAGATAGACGTGGAACCAAGAGAGAGCAGTGTCACAAGAACTCAGGAAGAATATAGTATCCAGCAGAGAGGGTGGTTAACAGTGTCAACTGCAGAGAGATTAAGAAGGATGAGGATTGTGAAAAAACAATTGGATTTAGCAATGGGAGAGAGCAGTTTCAGTTGAGTGGTGAGGTTGGAAGCCAGATTGCAAAGAGCTGAAAAGTGAGTAAGAATCAAGGAAGTTGAAGCACTCAATGTAATAGCATTTTCTTAGAATTTGGCTGTGAAAGAACGGGGAGATAGAGAAGGATAGCTGGAGGGGGACAGTAAAGTCAAGTGAGGGTTTTTCAAGGGGAGGGGAGACTGGTATTGTGTTTTGTCAGTTTTTCACATAATACGTACATGACATGGAAAACAGAATCTCCTGGAATTTAAATATGTGCATTTATGATGACCAGTATTAAAATGTTACTTTAAAATGTTAGAGAGTCTTTTGTATCTTTTTAACCTAGACAGCTGTTTACTCTGCCTGTCCATTCATCTCCTTTCAGTAAGGCATTACAGTTCCTAAAGCTGGCTGTTAGCCCTTGTAGCCTAGATTGTGGTAAAACCTGTCCTAACTGGTATTAATGTAGTGGAAAGAATAGGACATTTGGAGATAGGAAACTGGTGCTTGAACTTGGCTATTTTCTGGTTTGATGAGCTTGAGCAAGTCCCTTTTTAGTCTGTTTTCTCATCTTTAAAACAAGCAGGATAATGTTTTCACTAGCCTACCTCTAAGGATGTTGTGAGGGCTAAATGACTAAAAATACTTTGGAATCATAAAGTGCTATGAATATAAATAATTGCTATTATTAGGAGTAGCTGAATTACTTGGACAAATCACTTTGATTCTTGGTGCCTCATTTTTTTCCATTTTCAAGACAGATATCGTAATACCTGACTCTAGGAATTAAGTGGACTAGGTGATCTTCAAAGTCCCTTCTAGCTGCAAAATCAATGATTTATTTATCTCATAAAGATCTCTATGATGTATTTATCTCATAGAGAGGTCATGAACACATATGAGGTAATAATTCTTTCCTCAAGTATATATACTCAGCTCTTAAAGGAAGGCCCTGTGGAAATACAAAGTATAAAGTGCTGTTGCAAATTTTAGAATCTCATTGCTCTTCTGTTTGGAAATTTTTTTCCATGTAGAATTGAACATGTAATCTCATGTTTTTTTCCTCTCCCTCAGGATATCTTAAATACTGTTATAAGGCATTGTCCTTCCCGTTTTTTCTTCTTGGGTTTACCTGGCTTTACAATGCTGATAGGAGACTTCATCACTGCTGCATCCAGAGTTCTTAGTACAGACATGTTGGCGGTGAGTATGACAATGCTCAACATCCAAGTTCCCAAGAGAGTGTACAATCGCTAACAAGGTTCAGATTTCTCCACTCTTAACAGGTGTTGACTCATTAGTGCAATGTGAAACTGGGCTCTCAGGGTAGATACCATGGCAGCTGATGTGTGAAATTGTAGGATAAGGTGACATACTAGTATTGCAAAGGTGTTTCATCAAAAGGCCATAGTGTGAGAAATCATATCCTCACTAGTATTTCAGCACATTTACACACTCAAAAGCAAGTCTTGGGTTTCACAATCTCATTAGCTTTTTATAATAAATGAAAATGAACCTAGATGCTTGTAATAAGCACAGATTTCTAAACATAATGTCATTAAGAATTTTTTTAAAATAGAGGTTAAGAGACATAAAACATTTTGGTTACTTTAAAATGGGAAAATGATAGTTTTTAAAATGAAGGGTTTTTTTTTAATTCACTCATTCAATAACAATTTGTTAAAGGACTTAATATCATCAAAGCACTGTGTGAAGGGAATTACAAAGATAATTAAGACATGATCCCTGCCCTCCTTCATATATATTTTTTCAACCTCTGTATAATGTCTTAGTGTACTAAATCATTATTACTAAAATTATTTTAGTACTTTATTAATGCTGATAATTATAAGCTAAACTATTGTTATTAAATAAAAATTATATATTTATTAAAGCAGGTGGTCATAAATTTTCACTGTAATATAAAGTTTATATGTAACATTTGCTTTTGATCTTTACATTTAGCCAGAGTAGTGTGAGGTAACTTGGAAAAATCAGTCACTCAAGCATTTATTAAATACTTTCTATGTGTGTTATGTGATGAGGACACAAATAATGAATGTATGCTGTTAAGGAGCATGGAAGTATCAGATAACCAATTATGCCTATAGACTCACAATAGAATGATATTTTTATGTTTAAACTTATGTCTTGCACTTTACCTTTTCATGTTACCTATTCATATCCATCTAATGTATGATTTTCTTTCTGTATGATTTTCCCTATGAATGGTAAGCTTGATTATTAATTGAGGGCTTCTGTTACTGTTAACAGGAGAAAGCTAAGCATTTACCCTGTTATACAAAACTAGACCCCTGAATCATTTACAAAAATGTTTATTGAAACATTAATACCTAACAGCTTGAATTTACTTTCACACTTAGTTAAAAAAAAGATAAAAAAAGGATACGCATGAGGTGGGGAATGATTTAATTATGAGGTCACAGCTGCAGAATAAGAGAGAAGGATGCCAGCTGCTAAATTGGTATTCCTAAAATACAAATCTAACCCTGTCATCTCCCTAATCAAAAATCTTCAATGGCACCCAATTGCCTCTAGGATAAAGTACAATCTCCTCAGTGTAGCATTTAAAGCTCTTGATAACCTGGCTTCCACCTTTTTTTCCGTACTTATTTCATTTTATTCCCCTTCATGCTGTCTTTGTTTAGGGCAAATTAGCCTGATAGTTCTTCTACATGAAATTATATCTCTTGCCTCCATGTTCTATGCATGGAATGTTTCACCATTTCTTCCCCAGTTAATCAGTCAGTCAACAATAATTAGTATGTACTTACTGTGAGGTAGCTATTTACTGGAGATTTAAGTACCAAAAAATTAAAAACAATCCCTACTCTCAAAGAGTTTACATTCTAACCTCTTAACTATTCTTCAGAGTACAACTCATGCAATACTAACATAAGTCCTTTCCTGATCCCTCTAGTTACCAACACTTTCTTCCTCTGGAAATGACTTTATGTTATTTTGTATTTATTTTTGTTGTTGTTCAGTTGTTTTAATACATTGGACTCTTCATGATCCCTTTTTGGAGTTTGCTTGGCAAAGACACTGAAGCAGTTTGCCATTTCCTTCTCCAGCTCATTTTGCAGGTGAGGAAGTTGAGGCAAATAGGGTTAAGTAACCACGATCACACAGCTAAGTAAGTGTCTGAGGCAGGATTTGAACTCAGGTCTTCCTGACTTCTGGCCTGGTGCTCTATTCATGTACCACCTAGCCCATTTATTTAGCTATGTACAAGTTGAATCCTACCAGTAGAATATAACCCTTTGAGGGCAGAGCCTGCTTTGTTTTGCTCGTGTTTCTCTTTGTGCCTAGTGCAGTGCCTTACACATGCTTAATAATTTCTAATAAATTGAAGGTTGAAAGGGAAAAGTGATTAATTCCGAAGTATGGCACTCCTATTTAGGACAGGAAATATATATTAACTTGAAGATTACTTGATTGAATTCACCTTTTAAAAAAAAGGATTACATAATGGATTAGAAGGCACAACATAATAATATATTGACTAAAGGAAATACACCTAAGACTGAATTATATATGCATATTCAAAATAAGAAGATGGATTAAAATTTAGTATGTTAAAGCATTGGAAAAATTGTAGGGAATTGAGAATCTAATCATGATGCTGGACCAAACTGAATTCACATTTTAATAGATCAATAGATGTAAATATTGTGACTATATTATGCTTAAAAGTACCTTTGTCAATTAAAAATAATATTAATTATGTATGGTCCAACAGTATTACTATATTTTCAAAGTAAAAAGTAACTGAATTGCAAAAGAGAATTATAAAGGAAAACTGTAATGGAAAACTGTAAAGGGGACTGTGTCATTGCCTCATTAACAACATAACAAATCAAACAAAAACATAAATAAGTTATAAATAAATAGGATGCTAAAAAAAAACCACTAGATTTGATAGCTGTAAGGAAAGAATGAAGTTGGTATAGTAAGGAATTTATTTGTTACTAACATGCATGTTGAATTTTAACAAAAATTAGTTATTCTTGGGAAAATTTTACAAATAAATTCAGAAAGTCAGAAATTTTAAACACAATTTTTACATTGACAGCAAAATATCTTCAAAAGATAAGTGCTAGATGGGAACAGAAAAGTGGCAGATTTATATCTCAGAATGTCTGTTTTTAAAAAAAAAGCAAATTAGAAATTTGCAATTAAACATACACACTCACACACACACACACACTCCTGTGAGATCAGTAATTTCATAGACAAAATGGAATTTGTTTTGAACTTTAAGACCTTCTCTAAAGAGGGAGGAAAGAGAGGAAGGTAAGGAAGACCAATTGTGAAGCCAGTGCAAGAGGCAATCAGGTCCCGTACTGTAAGGACATGGACACAAGGGAGGTAGAAATGATGAAACTTTGCAATTGATTGGATATAGAAGGGTGAGGAAGAGTGAAAAAAATTTTTTTCCAATGTCTCATATTGGTATGAAGCTACCCAGTGTTCTCAAAGGCCGTGCCAATGAAGTAATCCCAATGCCATAACTCAAGTAGGAGAGGCTTCAAGTAAAGGACTGGTGACAGAACATATGTCTGTGCCCAATGAGCAGCCTAGCTTAGTTTGGAAAGTCCAATCTTCAGGTTGACCACAGGGTGATATAATTTTTTGGTTACAGCAGCCCTTGAAGAATTTCTACTAAGCTGTCCTGAGATAGAATCTGCATTAGGAGAGGGAGTACCCATGCTGACAAATCACACAAAACTATTCACTGCCCTAGAAAATAAGTAAAACCAACTGCTAGGGGATTATTTCACTTGAAAATTAATTATGTAATTTTTTTTCTTACAAGCAAAAGATTAGACTAATTTTTTTTCTATTTCCCCCCCTTAAATTAATTATTCTTTTTTTTTTTTTGATGTTTCCTCTCTGTTAATATTTCTTATTCTCTTCTATGGTTCCTATCTGTATTGTAAAACTCAGGCATACACCCTAATGTTTCCCAGAGCCAGTAACTAAGTGGCAGTCTCTACATGAGGAAATGTATTTCTGGCTATCTTTTCCCTCTCAAAGAAGTCCTATATAAATATATTTGATAATTCATTGGTGCATCAGCACTTCTTTCAGATAGACTCATGTTGTGAAAAAAATTAGTCTTGATGATGTTTTCTCCATCCACCCCATCCCCATCCACATGTTAACTTCCAATGGAAGTTATTTGAGGTTTTCTTCCTAGTTATGGTGTGCAAATAGTCAATTTTCAAAGTGCTATATTGACTGTCTTCCAGCTAAAGGTTTATCCCCATGACGTGCTGTCCAGGCAAGTATATCATGCTTTCATATTCAGTTGTGGCTACAAGTCAAATGACTTCCTTTTCTGAAGATGTATCTTATTCCTTCCTGTGTACTCTAGCTCACTCTTAATGCATAATATACTCTGCATCTCTCATTTTTTGTTTTGTTTGTTACTGTCTCTTTTTTTTTTAAACTTGACTGCTGGTCTGAATTTTTAATAGCTCCAAAATGAATTATAAACAACTTATATTGCATTAAAAATTCTGTAAGACAAAGCATTTTTTGCTGGTTCTATATAATGATCAAAGCCAAAATATGTCAGGCTACAGTATTGTTCCAAATATAGATCATACTACTAAAATTAGATTACTTTTTTGTTTTTTTTTGTTTTTTAGCTAGGCAGTGGGGTTAAGTGACTTGCCCAGGGTCACACAGCTAGTAAGTGTTATGTGTCTGAGGCCGTATTTGAACTCAGATCCTTCTGAATCCAGGGCCGGTACTTTATCCACTGCACCACCTACCTGCCCCTAAAATTAGATTACTTTTAAAGAAAAAGCACACACACACACACACACACACACACACACACGCGCCATTTGTTATGGGCCTTACTCAGACATACAGGCTAACTTGATTGCCGGGAGTATGGAAGTAGACTCAGACTACTTAGCTTTTATGGTACCTATTGTATCAGCATAAATCTGTTCTAAATCCAGTAAAACCAATCTGTAGTCATATACCTGCTGAAACAGAAAGACTTTAGGTCAGCCGCTTCTGGGAGCCAAGATGGCGGAGTAAAAAGGTAGTCACTCTCACCCTCCCCTATCAACCTCTGAAAACCCAGAAAATATCACCCCAGGAAAAAAACCTGGATCAGCTGAACCAGAAGAAAGACGGCATGCAGCAGTGCAGTAGCCCAG